CATTAGTGGTGTTCAAAGATTAATTCAACAAATATACATTCTACCTTTAAATTTTTTCATCAGACAATCTGAAATCCATTAAGTTATTGCCAAACAAAGGGGAATGACATTTTCCCTTGTTAAATGTTGTCATGGTCTTTTGTTAAAAACAGAATGACATTTCTAGGGTCACTGCTGAGCTGAGTTTCCAATCTTATCTTGTTTAGGAGGGCTGATAAAAGTGAAGGATGAGGAAGGGTCATATCATTACTGTGCCAGTCAGCTTTGGGGCCTGTAGAATTGTTTTCTGATGGACTTTTCTTGACATCAAACATTGGAGGCTATTCAGTATTTCTAATGGCAAATTCCTTCCAGGTCAGAGAAAGAAAACAGCAGTTTAACAGATCTGTAGCCATATTGCCTACTCCTTCTTTCGGGCAGAAGCACAGGAAGACACATGACAAGAAGGTGAGAAATATTTCTTAGTTGATTTACAGTGGCCTGAACCATTAGATCTTTCACTTAAGACAAACTTCTGATCTTAAGCAAATGGCATGAGGTGTGACATGTTGTTCATATTTCTAACATTGCCCCTCTCTGCTTCTGACATAGAACAGAGGTCTGCCTTAGAAATATATCCATTTCAGAAATGGCATTTAAAGAAAGATTACATTTTCTGAAAACGAATAAGTATTCTGACTCTTGGCCTCTTCAATTTTATGATGAAGGGCAAATGCATACTCAAATGTTGAAGAGAGGTTGGTTCTTATATTTCTTAAGATGATAGGTAGCAAAATAACAGAAGCTGTCTACAGGTATTAAGAAGCAGGGATACATGAATCTAGCCAAACTTCCCTCAACAATCTTTAGATTATATTCTGCTTAAACTTTCACAATCTGTGTACAGTAATTGCCTCTCAATAAGATATGTTGATCATCATCCTTCTTTCAGATGTTCATTCAATGGTGGAGAAGGATGATCAACATATCTCAATGAGAGGCAATTACAGAGATTGTGAAAGTTTAAGCAAAATGTAATCTAAGAATTGTGCACTAATCATATGCATGTTTATTCATGAACTTATTTTTCTAATTTATATAAATTATACAGGCCAAACCTATGAAGGCCTTAGATATTTGACCCACACTTTAAAAGGATTCATTCTCAAAATAATGTAGTATATATTAATTCTTTGCTTAAATCCCTTTTAACAAATTTCACAGTATTATATTCTATAAAAGATGTCAGCAGACATGGTGGAAGACAGAATGCATTTGTAAGTATTTAAAGAACTGTGCTATTAAGATTTTGTTATTACTGTATTACATCCCTACATTATAAGGAGACCATGTGGCAGAATAGAACGCAGAATAATAAGAGTTTGAAAGGATCTAGGAGGTCTTCTAGTCCAACCCCTTGCTCAAACAGGAGACCCTGTATCATTTCAGACAAGTGACTGTCCAGAATCATCTTAAAAGCCTCCAGTGATGAAGCACCCACAATTTCTGAAGGCAAGCTATTCCACTGGTTAATTGTTCTCACTGTTAGGAAGTTTCTCCTTAGTTCTAGGTTGCTTTTCTTCTTAATTAGTTTCCATCCATTGTTTCTTGGTTTGCCTTCTTGTGCTTTGGAAAATGCTAGTAAGGTAATATATAGTTAGCTCAACGTTCATTTGGGTTCAGAGGGCTTTCTTACAAGTAGAATTACTTAAACTACCTTTTTATAAAACTTCTGACAATATAAAAAATACCTGCCTTTTGGCCTTCAAAGACATGTGAAATTCACAATCCATGACTCCCGAACATACAAAAAATAGTCCTTTATTAGTCATATATACTGTATATGTAGCTAATGGTCATAATGATATCATCATGTATCCTCAAGATTTAGGAAGGCCTGGAGGAATGTTGTCCATGGGGTCGTGATGGGTCGGACACAACTTTGCAACTAACAACTGCAAGATTTGTCATTTAAAAACATGTTGGTTATTTTAATATTCTTGGTTTTTGTGTTTTTTAAAGTAAGTGTCAAGGTTCCGGCTGAAGATCCCAACAAAGTAAACACACCAGAGACATATACGGTCTTGTAATTCACAAGTAAAGTAATATTGTGATCTTGTAATTGAGGAACTGTCAAATACTGTACATCATAACAACAAATTACCATCATCTGGCTTATGTGATGCTCTTCACGAGCTTTCAGTAACACCAGAGTGGTCCATGAAATGGAAAAGGCTAGGAAGCACTACTAGACTATAGTCCATTTCATTAGTTCATGATTTGAGTGATTAACTGCCAGATGCAGGTAGCTAGGAAAATGCAGGTATTCAAATGGTCATTATTTCCAAAATGTTAATACAATAGGCTACTTTATGCAGTCCATTGCCATCTGATCCCACTGGTGATTGTTATTCCACTTACTGCATATTTAGTTGCCAATTGAGCATAAAATTCTTCTAGAAAATGAGGGAACCCCGGGGAATATGTGTCATATTCATTAACCTTCAACTGTTGCAAGATTTCATTGTTTTGTTGCAAAAGGCTCACATGATTAGCTCTCTAAAAATGAAATTGTGCCAATTATCTTATCCAATTCTCACAAATTCAAAATAAAATGATTCAATCTTATTTTTATTTCAGAGAGAAGACAACTGAGGCTAGAATGGTTTATTAAATAAAACTAAAATAGATTTAAACTTATCTAATCACAGCAACCAAAACCCAAGATCCTTAAAAAACTGAACAAATATTTACCTGTATTGTTTTACCAAATTACAGAAACAAATGTAAAATATCTGAACTAATGAGATCTGTATCTTTCCCTAAGTATCCAATTTGCATTCATACAGTAAAAATCTATTGCATGGTAAAATATAGCAAAAATAACTGCCTCCACCCCCAAACTGGCTGTACCTTTTTACCTTTAAGGCATTTAAAACATTAGCTATGTTGGAATGCACCTTTTTATAGCTTGCAGAGGCTTTTTTTCCCCTTAACAATGCCTTTTATTCCTTTTATTGTTTTTGCTTTTTCTAGTTGCATTACATTCTGAATTGTGTTGATATGCAGAATATTTGGTCATTTTCTTTGAATACAGGAGATTTGGAAGAATGTACCTGTACACTCTGGGTGAATCAATTCCATGTTTTCTGTCTCTAAATCATTGCTTTACTATAAATGTTGGACACTAAACTGCCTGGAATCATTCGATTGTGAGGTGATGTGGTATATTAATTTTTTTTTAAATGTGGGCTGTTCCCATGGGCTTCTTAATCTTAATCCCTGAATTCATTGGGTCTAACCACCAACTCTTTACGGGACCTAACTAGAATAGAATCTTTCAAATGGTGACTATTTAAGGAATTTGTGGGAAGCGCTATACCAGTGGTTCTCAATCTTTTTAATGCCGCGACCCCCAACCGGTCGTAAGTCGAGGACTACTCAACCGGTCGTAAGTCGAGGACTACTCAACTGGGGCAGTACTGTTTGCAGAATGAGATTTTTGGCGGGTTCAGCAGGGCAGAGACAGCCTGGACAATTCCTATTGGCTTTTGAAAGCCAATAGAATTAGACTCTGTTCAAGAGAGTCTATTCTATTGGCTTTCAAAAGCCAATAGAATAAAAGGGAATAGCACAGCTAAGGAAAAGGGGAAAAAAATGGCGGACTGCGTTGTTTGGCGACCCCTGTGAAATGGTCTTTCGACCCCAAATGGGGTCCCGACCCACGGGTTGAGAACCACTGCGCTATACCATGTATATAGGTAGTGGTCAATTTACAACCACAATTGAGCCCAAAATTTCTGTTGCTAAGCAAGACATTTGTTAAGCAAATTTTGTCCCATTTTATAATCTTTCTTGCCACGGTTGTTAAGTCAATCACTGCAGTTGTTAAGTTAGTAACACAGTTGTTAAGTGAATCTGGCTTCCCCCCTTGACTTTGTCAGAAACTCACAAAAAGTGATCACGTGACCCTGGGACACTGTAACTGTCATAAATGAGCCCATTGCTAAACCTTCTAATTCAGTTCATGAGACTGTAGGGATGCTGCGACAGTCACAACTGTGAAAAATGGTCATAAGTCACTTTTTTCAGTACCATTGTAACTTGGAACGGTCACTAAATGAACTGTTGTAAGTCAAGGATTACCTGCAGATGCATCAAGTGTAATTCATCAGACAGACCTCTACTATGGGAAAGGTGTTCCTATTGAAAAGATGCCCAGATTCTCATTTCCCAATTTTCCCAAGTTAAACTAAGGATACATGAATTTTAAAACTACTGAAATACAGAAGTTGAACAAAGTCTGTATCTGTTTCTTAAATGGCAGCTTGCTTTTTCAATCATAAGTGGAATAAAGTCTTTGAACATTTCCATGCCTGTAGCTACACACAGCATAAAGACACTCTGCTGTTTTTCTACCACGTGTGTTAAATTTTGACCCTACATTTTCTCTAGGAGTTCAAGATAGCTTATATGGGAAACCTACAAGATAGTTCATGAGTGATTGGCTCAAAGTTATCCAGGTGAGCTTCCATAGCTGAGGGACAACTTGAACTTCAGTCTCTCCAATGCTAATCCCTCATTCTCTGCATATCTTCTGAAGTCTTCTTTGGCTGTTTCTCCCTTATTCTGGCATGGTCCAAGGAAAATCTCAAGATGTCAGAGGGCTCAGTGATTTGAAATAGAAACAAAAGAGGCAGGGATAGTAAATTTATGTCCATTTTGCTACTATAGAGCAGGATCAGTTCAATTTCTGCTGTGTTTTCCTTGTGCAGAAAGAGTATGGGTGCATAATTGTATTTTTAAAAAAATACAAGCCACAAGGACTTTAAAAACATTTTGTACTTATTTTAAAAAACCTGATGGCTAAATAATCAAGTTTTGAGCCATCTTTTTCTTTGGTGAAAAGCAAGTGGCCTTTTTCAGATTTATGACCAAAGGAAGGCTATATTTTATTATCATATCTGGAATAAATTTCTGAAATAACTTTCTGAATCTCTATGACAACCAGTTGCAAAGAGTCTTTTACAAGGACACAGAAAAGGACAATTTCCTCTCTGTTGCATGGAAGCTTCATCTTGCCTGTTGAATATTCCACAATTTAAAAGTGCAGAATCCCCCTTTTCCTCCTTTGTACTTGACCATCATCTCCCTTTCTTTAAACTCAATGCAAGCAAGAATGAAATATTATTGGCACAGCTAGTGGCCCATTCCTCTTTCCAACTGTAAAATAGGACAATTTATCAACACCAACCTACGGTACTAGTTGAAGACCAATGCTAGAAGACTCCTTGTGAAGGAGAAGCTTTACCCCCTGCAGTGTATGTGAAAGATTGCTCCTCCCCCAGCAAGATGTGTTTATGGAGGGGAGGGGTAGGAGCTAACCCACTTTAGAATGGATTATACCTCTCTGAAAATCTAATCACAGAAGGGCTTCTGGAAGGAATATGTGCCCCTGGAGGAAATGAGAAATAGCTGGAAAAGGTCCTCCTTTTATTAGTCCACCTAATCACATGAAACAGCTGCTCCTGTTTGGGGTGAGGAATCTGGACCACACTTATTTGGAAACAGCTTTAGAACTGAAGTGGGCTTGAAAGAGAAAAACGTCTTGAGAAAATGTATTGGAGGCAAAATACCAGGTAACTTTACATTTTTATACCTATAATCAAGTTGTATTCGGTCATGCATCTTCTATTCTTTATATACACAAAGGTAAAATTGTAATCCATGTAGAAGCAAGAGATATTACATAGTGAACATTTTGGCTCTAGTGAGAGTAAAATATAATTTCCAGAACTATTGTCTTTTTATAATACAGCAATTTGCTTTGGTAATAGGGCTATAAATGTGATTTTGAAGCAATTATCTCAGTAACAAAGAAAAGAATAGGACTATTTAGCTGGGATCTTATAACTAATGTTTCGTGCTGTAGTGGCTTATCTATACCCTAGGATTGTGTTGCTCTTAGAAAGAAGTCTCAGACAATTCAATTTGACTTCACTTTACTTTGCCTAAGCATGTTTAGCATTAAATTGCTCACTTCTTTGTCTGTGATTTAAGTTTGCCTTCCTAAATCCAGTAGTAAAACTCAGAGCGAATTCTATAGTAGTATTTTTGGGGGATGGACTTGAATGCTCTTTTCTCACACCAATGTTTTTCATACTGAACTAATGTCTGTGCATACTTTGCCTCTCCAGGTTTATTTTAACAATAACTCTGGTTTTGCAGAATATTAATTTTGGAGAAGGTGAGGAATTTTCCCATAATTTGGTTGCAATTTTGCCATCTGTAAAATAGTGCACTCTCTTATGTTCTTCTTTCTTTGAATCCCATCAGGCCTTAGAAAAGAAGGAGACACTCATGACCCTGAAGGAAATGTGGATGTCATGATTCAAAAGAACAGTGCAAAAGAGCGAGGAGCCACCACATTAAAAGTCTTCAGTGTTGTGAATCAGAGCTCTGTGTATAAAAAGCCGAGACCAATTGTACCTTTCACTGGGCTAACAAAGAGTAAGTTACTTTCTTTATCCTTACATGCTTCCTAAATCTTGATATCTGAATTTATTATAGCAACAGATTTCTTCAATCTAGTGCCCGTAACATTAGTCAGCTGACTATTAACAGGAACTTAGCAAAGAAAGACCTGGGTTCAAATCCTTGCTCTGCCATGAAATTTATTAGCCAATCCTATCCACAGTCATTTTGTACAACCTTTAATTCTAGGCACGGTACAGCCATGAGGTCTTTAGAGCAAGCATCCAGTTTTACTTTTGCCCACCTCCGAGGAATGTGGTAAAGATAAAAATATATGTTTTACAATAAAAATGCAATAAATACACATGTATTTATTGGAAATATCCATTGGAAAATCTGTTTCCCCAAAATAACTTCTTATTTGCCCTGGACATAGGCAAGGCAGAATGAGATTTTTTAAAAAATATATATATTAATCAATTTATGCATTGCCCTGCTCCCAACAAAATAGGATTCTGCATTGTCTTTCATTAGTAGAATTTCTGCAGAGTTCAGTTGCAAAATCCTATGTAGCCTGTCATTGGGGGAGCTGGCAAAAATCTTATGAACCCTTTGTAAATAATATTACTAAGGCTTATGCTCTAAACTGCAATCTTTATACACTAAATTATAATCTACTGAGCCAGTGATGTATTTTTTAAAATAAATATCCAGAAGCTGCTCTGTAGGCAGTTAATCCTCTATGTTTAGAGACCCTAAGATTTTTAGATGTTTAGGATTATAATTCTTATGTTTCTTCACTTGGAAATTCTAATGGAGGTGACAAATTATTGCACTTTTCTGGCACATTTTCTGTAATGAGCTGTGACAAAAAGTAAGACCCAATTGCTTACTTCTGGGAAATGAACTCCATGTACCCAGGACTGACCTTAAAAAAAAAAAAAAAATACTCATCAGCTCTAACAGTTCTATTTGCAATAACTCTTTCTGCCAAGCAAATTAGGAGACAGGTAGATTTCAGGATAATGCTTTTATTATAGTTAAAACATGTGTATGTATGTATGTGTATATGACTTGAAGGCATAATTTGGCTAAAATAAGGTGATAAATCTATGTACATTGGGCAAAAGATAATGATGTTTATTTTCTTTCTTTGGGTAAATATCAATACTATTTTCAAAAGAGAGTATGATTACCTTCTGCTGGAGTGCAATCTGCAGTTTGACATGCAAGCTTCTGCAGAAGAACAAGTCATGGGCCATGCAGTAATCTGTAGCAGTTTGCTTTTAATCCTTATCTAAACAATCTGGGCTTAGCTGAACAAACAGTCTTAACAGGCAACTAATTTTATTGTGCCCTTAAGGCCAATAGAAGCAGGCCCTTGGCAGCAGGCCCTTGGCAGCTAGGAAGACTTGGCAAAAGCAAGTGAAAAAGAAGGTTCAAAGAACCCTGTTTCTTTGTTAACTCTGGGCTATTCGTTTTCAGGTCGAACCCTTAACCGGCACTGTTGTAAAAATGGAGGAACTTGTATCCTGGGCAGTTTCTGTGCCTGCCCCAAATACTTTGTTGGCAGATACTGCGAGCACGATGAACGGAAAAGGTAAAGAAGTATATATTGTGGGGTGATTGTGGCTTGTCAATGAAACTTGGAAATAATGTTGCATCTTCTGATTTGTCATTGGCAGCAACTGTGGCCCATTCATGCATGGAGAATGGATATGGAAAGGTTGCCAGCTGTGTCGATGTGGTTATGGTGTTCTTAAATGTTTATCTGAACAAAGGCAAAACTGTGGTAAGAAGATATGTCACGGGGGAAAATATGCCTGTAAATCCAAGAGTCCTATATCTGAAACATGAACACATATATAAGACGTAAATTATTCTGCAGTGAAATTTAGGTTATTTAATTGACAGCCTTTAAGATGTCCATAGTTTTGTACTTTTCATCGCAAAAGAATAAAGGAGAAGCATTACATGAATTGTTATGGACTACTCTGAATTGTTGAATTTGTTTCACTGAGTTAAAATCCAAATATGATTTCTGAGAGCTTGTTGAGATAGTGCTTTGTTCTATATCCACTTTATATGAAAACTTTGTCACAGCATTTGTCTATATCAATTATTGTTTTTCTTCTCAGAGAGTTTAGGGTAGCCAGGGCTTCTAGATCAGATTTAGGCAAGAAAGGGTTGTGTGGACTCTCACTCATAGTTGGTGGTCTAGGATTGAATTTTTAGAGCCACTCATCTCAATGGACCTAAGCCACCACCTGCTTTACATGAATACTTGAGAGAAGCAAACCAAGGTTTCTTGTCTGCATAGTTTTCCTTTGAGTTCTATTTTCAAAATGTAGAGAGCAGTTAAGGAAACAGATTACTGGGAGAGAATTATGACATGGCACATGTAATTCAGATTAGATTATCATAATGATCCCTTCAGGTCTTGAATATTCATTGTTTTATAAAGGTAGCTATACAGTATATCTCCCATATTCAAATACCTTATTATCTTCACTATATATTGGGCAATTAGGTTTGAAAAGGAACTAGCTCTACTCATTCCTACCTTTTATTTATATGTAAAAAGTGCACTAATTTCATGTTGTTTTTTTACTGTGCATTCCCAAACCTGGGTGGAGGTAGGGGAAGAGTGCAAAAAGACCTTTTTTGGGGGGGGGGGAGTACCCAGAGGGATAGAATCAAGATCACATGAAGTATTACCACTACTTTACAATGCCTTGGTAAGGCCACATTTGGAATACTGCATCCAATTTTGGTCACCATAATATAAAAAAAGATATTGAGACTCTAGAAAGAATACAGAGAAGAATAACAAAGATGATTAGGGGACTGGAGGCTATTTTAATGAAGAGAAGGGCGAGGGTGGACATGATAGCAGTGTTCTAATATCTGCCACAAAGGAGTCAAGCTATTCTCCAAAGCGCCTGAAGGCAGGACAAAAAGCAACGAATGGAAACTAATCAAGGAGAGAAGCAACCTAGAACTAAGGAGAAACTTCCTGACAGTTAGAACAATTAACCAGTGGAACAACCTGCCCCCAGAAGCGGTGAATGCTCCAACACTGGGAGTTTTTAAGAAGAGACTGGACAGCCATTTGTCTGAAATGGTATAGGGTTTCCTGCCTGAGCAGGGGGTTGGACTAGATGATCTCTAAGGTCCCTTCCAACTTTTTTATTATTATAATATTATTATTATTAAGTCACTTTTGGTGTCTTCCTGGAAAAAAATCCCTGCAGTTTTCTTGGCAAGATTCCAGAAGTGGTTTGCCATTACCTACTTCCTATACTGAGAGAGTGACTGGCTCAAGGTCATTCAGGTGATTTCATGTCTAAAGTGAGACTGGAACTTAGTCTCCCTATTTCTAGCCTAGTGCTTTAACCATTAGATGAGACTGCCTTTCTGCAAAAAACCCCCTTAAGAATAGTTTTCTCTATAATTGACGTGACAGAGATATGTTTCTAGATTTTCATTGCAATTGTTCATTTTAAAAAGCATTCATTTTTTCCCTCTGATCTGCATTTACAAACATTCATCAGATGAAGCAGACTTCTTGCAAGAGAACTTGTTACTTTTTCTGTCCCTACTTGCAGCTGTTATGGCACAGAAGCCTTCCGTACTGGGAGGGACAGGACACATTTTACACAAGAATCTGTCTCTCAAAAGCACATTTATCCTAATGTTACTTAACATAAATGAGATCAATAAAGGAGAATATTTGTAGCTCAGGGATGAAGTGAGGGGTTCTTGGCTGTTTTCTGACACACACACACACAGAGAGAGAGAGAGAGAGAGAGAGAGAGAGAGAGAGAGAGAGAGAGAGAGAGAGAGAGAGAGAGAGATTGGCCCAAGGTCATCCAGTTAGCTTCATGCCTTAAAGCAGAACTAGAACAACTTGATAACTTAACCACCACACCCAACAGGCACTTTTTATTTTTGTTAAATAAAAGCAAAAATACGATCACAATGTAAACTTTTGTAAGCCATTTGTCTAGCACCACTTTTCTTAATCTAAATCTTACTTCGAGTAATCGTGTTAGGAATATGTATGATTCCTGATGAGTTCCAGTCCAATATTTGATGAAGTCTTGTCAACATGCTTAAGTTATAAGTGTTAATCCCATTTTGTTTTCTGTTTTCCTTACCTGGGACAAAAGGGCCAAGAAGTACAATCCATTTTATTAGTAATGCTTTTTAACTAGTGATTTGTATTTACTTTTGATTGTGATGTGATTAATGCTGATAAGTTACCTTTAATTGGTTTCAAAGGCCCCGGATGGATCCCATTTGCACCTCTCCTCTGAGAATTCATCAGCCATTGACTTCCGCACTTGTCTTATTTAGTATTTTACTTAAGTACTTCCAGAGGCTTGGAGGAAATTACTAAGTATTGTTGAAAGAATTTGTATGCAGATTTCCTTAACTAACCCTTTCCCTCCTTTTTTTTCTCAGATTTAAATAAAGAAGAGGAATTCATCTATTTATCTTCAAATTGTCCAAGATTACAGCAAACAATATGCTTTCTTATTCTTCTACTAGGCTACTTTTTCACTTGGTTCTGCACAAAACTTTTCTATCAGCTTTGAAGCTGTCAATTAATTTGGACTGAAAATCCTGCAGATGCATCTGCAGAGTGCTAGAAACAAAGACTCTGTTGCATTTCTACTATTTATTTTCCTGTTTAACAGGAATGCTTTAAGATATTTACTTTTCATAAATTCCAGTTACATTTCTATGGTGAAATCACCCTTAATTGCCTCATTCCAATAGTGTTTACTAAAATAGTATCAAGAATAAAAGATGCAGTTGTCTTCCTATTAAGGATTTGTATAAGACCTAATTCAACTTTCCCATATCTGCTGCCCCTCAAATAGTTGAATTTCAGCTCCCATATTAGAAGTTGCGGTCCAAGAGATTTCAAGAGCACCACACTGAGAATACAGTGTAAATAAATCTGCATCAATGAAAAGTAAAATCAAAATATTTAAGTGAGCTCAGTTCCTAGTGACCTGAGAAATATACTTTTTTTTTGCGACAATATGAAAATAATTTCTGATTATTTTCCCATTCTAGCCTTTTTACCTCCTGAGGATTTCCTAGTATTCTCCCATCCTGCTATTAACTGAAAACACCAGTGGTGTTTCACATGTTAGCTCCGGTAGCTCCACGTTAAACCAAAGGTTAAGCTATTGTTAAATCAAAACAAGTTTAATGTTGCACAAATACTACTTCTCTTTAAATTAGATTTAAGCAGAATAAAAAGTTTATCTGTTGCAATATTGACTCTTCCAGTGGAAGAAAACTTAGGTATTCTATGACATTAAAATATTTTCAAATAGTGTTTCTGTCTTGCTCTCTTTATGAGTGTATATTCAAGCTGTAAATGCACTGACAATGTATTAGAGGTTCATCTTGCTCGACTTCATAATGTTTCTTACTAGAAGTCTATTCTATCAGTTACAATGCATCGCTATTACATTGTTAGGAATGTGCAAATTGGTCTGTTTCTGATTCAGGTAACTTTTATATGTGTTCATTGATATACCAGGTCTGTTGTCTGCTTTAATCTGTAAAATAAAGACAGAATTTTTTTTCAAAATATCTGCATGGAAGTGGGTATTTAATATAATTTATACATTTATATTAATATAAATTACACGTTTCTAATTGTTTTTTTGAAGCATGAATTTTAAATTAAATGTATTTTAATGCAACTTTGGAGTCAAGAATTGCTATATTTGGAAAATATAAAGGCTTGTAAGTCAAGATTCATGTATTGTGATCTGTTAGGTTTACATCAGAATTCATAAAATGCAAATGTTTCAGTTCTGACTAGTAGAGGTAAAATCTCATATCCTGGAAGTTTGTTTGAATCCATTCTATTCCAAACCACATAGATGGTCATGTTCACACAACATGTTTGACTGCGTTTGGTTTTCTTGTCTACATCCTAAAAGTAATTCAGAGAATCATGAAGCCTGAATAATTTCATTAGAGCTTTAACTGCCTCTTGCAAGACTAGTCTCTAGAGGCCTGCAAAAATAAGGCCTTAACAAATATATTTTCTAATGGTGTAAAAAAAAAAGTGACAATCTCCCACCTGTTTTTGTAAAAAAATTCTCATAATTGATTTGAGGGTACCAGAGGTCACATGTTGCCAGCACAGGAGAGCTGCTAACAGAATTGAAATATGAAATATGAAAATTGCATGTAACAAGCCAATTGACTTCATTTGTCAGAAATCTTCAGTGTAAATTTGATAGTTATTCAATATATGGTTCCATTCAATATAGTCTCAGCCTCTATTACATAATGAGAAATGTCAAAAGTTAACAGATTAATGTCACAGATTCAGTTCCTCAAGCATGTCTTTTTAAAAAATAATGCCTCCAAGTTGAAAACTTGGAACTATGTTATACTTGCTTTGTTTCCACTGCCCTAGCTGTAATGTTTCTTACATGCATCTGATTCTTCCTGGAACTGTACACTGTATACCTGCCACCCCAAAAGAAATTGTTTTGCAGCTGTATCCATCAAACTTGCAGTCACTTTGGTGCATTTGGATAAACATGAATAGGCCAGTGGAATCTTCAACCAAACACTGTGTGTATTGAACTAGCCTACATGACTGAAGTAACTAAGTTCAGTTTTTTTAAACACGTCAAGACGACAAGCCTGTATTTGATTTAAAAAGTAGAAAACTAAGTTACAGGGAGGGGGGATAAATTAAGGAGTTTTTTAAAAAGGAACACTGATTTCTCAGAAAGATTTTTACAAAACTTTACATGGATACAGTCATACAGAATGTATCTGCCTGGAAATAAGTCTGATTTTTATTGCGTGTGAGATAATGCTTAGATGAGAAATTACTTCCAACAGCAAGACAATGATACATCAGATCAAGAACTATATAGTTAGTTGCCACAGTGTTCAACAGTTTTGATACTGAAATGCATAGATGAAATGTACCATATGTACTGAATCTTAAAACAATTTTGTCTGTTCCTGTATCTTGATCTGTTTCATAAAAGGTATATGTACATTACAAATGTACAAAGGTTTGCTGGTAAATAATTCTGTGGCAAAGCAATACCATTCACTCAGACTAAAATATGTCTTAAAATATAGCTGTTATATATAACAAATGCATGTAGACCAAGCATGATTTTGTTTCCTTGTTTCTTACTGAGAAAATGAGAAATGGTTGAGGTTAAAAACAACAGGAAAATGTCCCTGTGATGGTGATTGATTTCTGCTTATTCTTTATCTATCCAGCAGTGCATTCAGATAAAATGAATGGGTTTTTTTGTTTTGCAAAAACAGAGCAATAGTTTCACCAGATCCAGAGCAACATTCTCTGAATTTTATTTTATTCATTAAATTTCTACTCCACCCATCTCTTCCAAGTGATTCTAATTTCCTCTAAATATAAACAGGAAGTACTGATGTATTCATGTCTTTTAACAGGCATCTGGTTAGTCATGACTGGTAAGAGAGAGGTGAGCCTTTAGCTGGCCCACCACAGCTCTACAGCAGTGTTTCTCAGCCTCAATAGCTTTAAGTTGTATAGATTTCCTCTCCCAGAATTCCCCATTCTGGGAGTTGAGGGAATTCTGGGAGCTGAAGTCCCCACATCTAAAGTTGCTGAGCTTGAGAAATACTGCTCTAGAGCATGGGTAAAATGAATGATAATGAAGAGAAACATAGCTAAATAAAGACTGCTGTTAAGTTCCTTACTTTTAAAGATCACAACATGATTATTCTGTATAAATTCAAATTATCAGATCTTTATTGATCTAATAAATCTGTTATTAGTTCAAGCCAGTAATATAAAGATTATTGATAAACTGTAATTATTCCTTTTTAATCTCTCTTATTTTTTTAGGGTTCATCTGATTTATATCCTCATTCCCTCTCTCTTCCTCTGCCATGAAATGATGCAGCCTTTGGGTAGCCAACATTTAGTTTTGGTGTTTGTGTTGTGTACTTGAGTGATCCTGTTAGCATCACTTTGTGAAATTCAGTGTTTACCACTATAAATGGGCCATTCCCAAAGTAGAAAAAAGTCAAAGTAAAATGAGTTCTGTCTGTATATAATATCTATGGGGATTCTCAGTCATTTAGGTCATAGTTATCCCAAAGATGCTTTTTCGTGAGGCAACTGGAGTTTCTTGGACAAGAAAGTCCAGTTGCCTCGTGAAAAAGCATGTTTGGGTCTGCATATAAAGGAAATCAAAGCCCTTATTTAACAGTGACTTGAAATAAATCCTGACCTTTTTTCTGATTGTCTCAGTTCTCTTTTTAAAACGGATAGGCCGTTTTAAAAAGAGGCCAATGAGATGCACAAAATGTTTTGCCCAAACCCTGCTGTAGTTTGAACTCTCCCCCCTCTCCCAAAAACCTCCTTCTATCTGTAGTTGATCAATCATGGAATTTCTTATTTGAGATTTGTCTCATGATAGGATCTTGTTTTTCTCTCCGGGAATAGCAGCCAGACCTATTGATACAATCTTCCCTCATGAAATTTGCCAGATTAGACTACCAATTTTGTAGAAACAAGTCTTCCCCCCCCCCCCCAATTCTCCATCCTGTGTCACTGTTTACAGAGAAGTAGACATGTTGACTCCAATGCCCCCAGCAGGGGCCTAATTATTCAGGCCTCTGTTGAGGAATTTATATTCCTGGGTTATGAATGCATGGCTGGTATTTACAGAAGAGCACAGAAATTACATTTTGAGTCAATTAAATTAGTTCTTTCTTCACCCTGAAGCTTTTTCTCAGGATTTCAATGGCTGTGCAATGATTATTTCTTGGCATGATGACTGTGCATTTATTTTTTGCATATAAGCTGCACAGTTTCTTCCAAGATTGCCTTTTTGCTGTTCAGACATTTCCTTTATGGACACAATGCACAATTTATTTTGTAACTGGGAAATGCAATCCTAGTCCAATCAGTATCTGAATAGGAAATAATGCCCTATGCAATGATGCATCCTTGCTTTATCTACAGAATTCAAAGTAACTATTTTAAACGGAATCTTACCATCTTTCCATTCTCAGTTAGTAAAGGTAGTCCCAAGTGAGCAAAGTTGGAATATAAATCGCAAAGATTATGCTATTAGTCTGTTATTATTAAACTGTAGCAGATTTAGTAAGAAGATTTGGCCTACAGGCATGTGCATAGATAATTTGCCCAGGTAAAATCTGAATAATAACATTTACCATGTACAGATCATAGTTTGTTAAATAAAAATTGAATGGCAGATTAGCTACTTAGTATATACAAATCCAGATAGGAAATTTCCTAAATCAAGCAATAGAATATAAATAGCTGTCGTGGCTTAAATAAATTTTAAGTTCTAAATTTAGCTCATGACAGAGGATTGGATCAAATTAAAGATCATTTCCTATTGTTACTGAGCAAATTAAATACAAAGTAATGTGATTTAGGTAATCATATAGTGTCCAGGAAGTTATTCATATCCTACCAACCATACACCACTCATGCTCAGCCAAGAAAATGCCAGAATAATTCATCCTTTAGACTCCAACATTTAACTATATCTGTATACAAAGATAACAGGTGCTCACTACAGGCTCCTTTGAAAATTATCTGGCTTATGTATGTAACATGGGTTTATCGAAAGCTTTTTATGGGTTTAAAGTTATTTCTCTTTACATTTAAACTAATAGAATGAAAAATATATAGGTATTTTACTCAGGTAAATATGCAAATGCTTAAATGTCTATCTCCATCTCCTCTCCCATAGGAATAAAATATTTGACTGACACTAGCAGGTGCAGCATGACATCTGTCATAGTCACTATAAAGCAGCTATTTGGTAGAACATAGCTATGTGTATATATACATACACGCACACATACATACACAGTGTAATATACACACATATACACTGTTTTTGCACCAAAGAGATGCAGGTTTTTTCAATATATATATATACAGTGCATATACAATGTATATATACTATATATACCATATATATATACATATAGTAAGTATACACTGTATATATAAATATATATTGAAAAAATGTGCATTTCTCTGGTACAAAAACCAGCCTGCTCCAGGGTCAAGCCCACACCAAATCAATTTCATAAAAAAAGAAAAGCTGTGCATGTTAATCGAAGTGAGGACCCAAGGTGAAGAAAACCACACTAGCTCTCCAAAAATGTCTGCCTTATGCATCCAGTTGGAAAGCAATAAAGTCAAAGGAATTCTAGCAGACTGACTGTAGGTTGGCATGTCTCCATCCTTATCTCTTTCCAGCTGTTTGGGAGTGTAGATAAAAGGAAAGGTTTCTTTACTCCAGAGCCCAAGTCCCCTTCTCCTCAGAAAGCAAATTGCAAACACTTGAGTGAGGGCTGTTTAAAGCAAACAGGAACGTTTGCTCTACAGTTCTGCACAACCTTATTTAGCTCAGTTAAATGAGAAGGGTTGCAGCCAGCCTGGCCATTGTTTTCTCACATTCATCATATCCACTTCCCTTGCTGTGTAACTGGGCTTTGTGGGAGGGGATGGCAAAGAGAAATATTTATCAAGTACTTCACAGATCCTTGAACGATTTGCTCTTT